GGGCCCGGCCCCGACAAGGTCACCTTCCGGGCGGGGGGCGGCGGCGTCCCAGGGGCGCGAGCCCGGGCGCCGGGCGGGGACTCCCGCGACCCAGCTTACTCGTTGCGCAAAAGTCTCTCCTGGCGCCTCAGCATCTCCCGCAGCTCCGCCGAGTTCCGCCGCTCCCAGCCCTCGGGAGCTTGGGGCTCGAGGCCGCGGGGCAGCCAGGACATGCTGCGGGGGCTGCGGCGGGCAGTTAGCTCCCTCGGCTGGCCCCGAGGCGGGCGCCGGATCCGCGGCCGACGGCGACTCCGCGGCGCGGGCGGGGGCCGCCATTTTCCCGGAAGAGCGGGCTTCTTCGAATCGAATCGAGCTTTATTGAAACACCGGAAACAAACACGGACGCGGGAGAGGGGGCGGTCCGTCGGCCCGCGGAGGCGGAAGTGACGTAAGATGCACGCGCCGGGTTTGGATAAAGTGCCGGGGGGGTCGGTGCAGCTCTGCGAGGAGGCTTACATAGTTGAGGGGGAGATGTTAAACTGGTAAAAACCAAGTACTGTGACGATTGGAGCCGACACTGGACAGGTGTTTGAGAAAGGAAAACCGGAGCGCGAGGGAGCCGGCGGTGGGAGCGGAAGCGTCGGGAAGGCCCAGCGACGTCCGGAGCGTCCCTAGGGGACCGCCAGCGCTTCCGAACGGCCTCCGTGGCTTTAACACTGCAGGCCTTCCTCCTGCATGTTTGCAGAGGCCCACGGAAGGGATGGTAGGGCCTGGGAAGTGCTGCACAGGCGGTTGAGAACTTGTCTTTCCTAAGTCCCAGCTTTGTCGGGTAAAAATAACTGACAGCAGACTGCAGACCCTAAGGCCTAGCTACTTTTTACACCGCAGTGGTGTGAAAATCCCCATCTTCACGTTAGACCTATTTCCAAATGTCTACAATTGTTGAAAAGGTTTACTCTGGCGGTTAAGACAGTAACTTTTCTATAGTTTATCCCAGAAAGCTGCATCCCAAAGGAAAGAACAGGTATGCACAGTCACAACGTGTATCATCGGGACGGACCCAGCAGATGCCAGCCTGTCTTCCAACACGGCCCCAGTTCTCTGATACAGGAGATTGAAGCTTTTTTCAGTCCTGTGTAAGGTGCTATGTAAACACAAGCAACTGCCACCCAGCAACACATACAACCTGAAGCTATTCCAGGGGACCAAATTATGGACATTTTTCCTCAGTATGACCAAAGACTTAAATAATGTGCTCCAATTCTTTAGAATTTTGCCCGCCTCTGTTTTCCACTGTTGGAAGTCTGACCTTTCTTCCCTTACCAATGATAAATCTTGGTTCTTCTCACCTTCTCCCTGGTTTCCTAGATTGTTGAAAACCAAATTGCCTTTTGTTTTGAGCACAACTTTTAATCCATGAGTTGGAGCCCCACTCATGCTTATTATACTTCTCTAAGTGTGTTAAACATGATAATTTCATTTTCTAACAAAATTATGAAGTGTTTTCTGTCACAAAACTATTTCTGTCTTTCCTACCAATAACAGGTACTAAGTGATTGAACCTTATAATTTTTATCTCAACTATTTACGTTCTTTTTTCTTTAAGTGAAATGTTTCTTGTATACAAATCTTAGGCTACTTTTATGCAAATATTAATCATAAATATTGTGAAGATATTTTCAGGGGTACAAAATTGAATCTTGTGTAGCTGTGGCTTAGGGCTTCAGAGGGTGGAAATACAAATCTGAGTTCCTGCCAATACTCAGGCACAAACCACGTGATTCTCTAGTCAGGAACCAAGAGAACAAGTGAAAGTTCCCCCTCCAGCAAAAGCAGACTCTTGGCATAAAGTGAAGAAAGGCAAAGTATTCTTTAGTAATGCATTAAGCAAATAAAAGCATCTGGAACACAAATTTTCACAGCAGTGTCCATGGGAAAAGATATAAAATGGAAACATTTAGTAGTGGAGAAATAACTAAACCATATCTCACAGGTTTTTCCTGTTTGCTGCAGAACCAAGCAAACACTTGAGAAGCAATAGACCCCCGCAAGCCACGGGGATCTCCTTTGAAGAGTTCCAGTTGAATACCAGAGTCCCATTTGTTATAAAAATGAATCTGGACAAATATTTTTGGGTTTTATTTTCTCCAGTGATCATTCTTTAAAAATCTAAACCACTTTTCTAATAGTACTTGGCTTAATCTGTATATTGCCTTCAGACTAAATTAAGGAACTTGACTGTGTTATAAAGGAAGAAAAAAATCAAAAAATGAAAGGAAAATTTCATCTGTCACATGAAATACCTCGGGATAACTTACTGCCATCTGATTACCACCAAGCTGTGCAAGAACATTGAACATGATTTTAAAACAACCTGGGAGTGATTTCCATTCATCTCTGTACAGTTTAAGCTAAAAGTTGATGATTGTGAAACATAAGCATTAATCTTTAGAATTTCTAAGCCACTCACCGATTTTCTTACACTATTGTCAGTATTGGGCATGAATGGCACAAAACTTGCCATAATATGCCAGAGGCAGCTCAAGTGGCAATACTTCCTGTCTGGTATGGTTGATATGGCTTGAGTTCTGTAAAGGTTCATATGTTGGAAGTCTGGCCATTGGTTTAGTGATGAGAGGTAATGTGGAATCTTTAAGGAGTGAACCCTAGGGAGAAATAATTAGATCATTGGGGCACTGCCCTCAGAAGGAATTGATATAGTTCTTGTGACAGATCGTTACAAAAGAGCAAACCTGAGTCTTAAATCTTTGGTGGAGCCAAATGCTTGAACCTCCAGAACTGAGCTAAGTACGTAGATCTCTGCACATTACTTGCCCACAATCATTTTGTTGTAGTAACAGAAAACAGACTAATACGCCACCCTGTATGTTCTTACTAATGAATGTAACACTCCTTTTATCAAGAAATAGGGGTAGCTGAGCATGGTAGTGCACACCTCTAATCCTACCACTCTGGGAGGCTGAGACAAGAAGATCACAACTTCAAGCCCAGCACGAGGAACTTACAAAATTCTGTCCCAAATAGGGCCTGTGAATGCAGCTCAACTGAAGAGGGTAGGGTGTTAGTCCTACCCTCTGCTTGAATCTGGGCATACTTAGGACTAGAGCAAAAGAGATTTTTCCAGTGTGGGTAACAAAAGATAATATAACTTCTGCCAGATTTTCTTGGGGTACTTACTCTTGGAACTCAGCAGCAAGCTATGAAGAGGACTAAGATTATGTAAGTGTTTTAGTTGACAACCTGAGATAGCTTCATAGGCAGTATCAACCACCAGATACATAAATTAACAAGGCTTTATGTAATTCCTTCCCCCAAGTGCCAAGTCACTTCCAGCCTTTAAAACTTCCAAGCTGAGGCTTCACACATTGTGAGACATCTTAACTGTGCCTTTTCTGAATTCCTGTCATACCGAATTTAGGGCATAAAAAATGATTCTGTCTTGTACCTTTAGGTTTGGGTTTGGGATAGTTGATTAAACAGAAGTTATAACAGGAACATTTTGCTAGGTTAATCTCTCCTACAATGGTCTGGAGCCCACCTTTTCTTAGCTCTTTGGAGATCTCATTCATTAGTATGTATTGTATTTATTGAGTGCTTATCACATGCAAAACACTATTCTAGGCTTTAGAGGTATAGTGATGAACGAGACAAAGCCAATTCCTTCCACACTGAAACTTCTATTAGATAGTTCTAACCTCTACATAAATATTAATATAGGGTGATATGTATTTGAGTAATTAACTGAGGTTGATTTCTCCACAGAGTTAGTTTACAAGCTGAGGCCTGAATGACAAGAAGCAACCATGGGAAAATCTGATGGGAAGACATCATCAAGGGATGAAAAACTTTTTTTAAAGGCCAGGTGGGAGGCTGGGGCTAAATCTTGTAGGGCTGTATAGGACAGAAGTTTGAATCTAAGCCACAGAGAAATAGGAAGCCATCCATAGTGGGAGCCCTGTAGGATTTTTCACAATGGTCCCACTCTAGTGAAACCCCTTCCCCCCCCCCGTGCGCTGGGGGCCCACCCACCGGGAGCCAGCAGGCAGAAAGCGCGCCGGTTTTTTTTGGGTCTTTGGATCGGCGTCTCACTCCCGGCCTTCCGGTTCCCTGGAAGGATGCTTCCGGCGCACAGGGAGCTGTGGGCGGGGAG